AAAAAAAGGGGGGGGAGGGAGAGGAGGGGGGTAAAAAACAAAACAAACTGCAGCCGAATAAAGTGAGTCTAACTTCATATCTGTAGGGCCCTGCTGGGCTCATGGCAGTGGTATCCCAATGCCACACTGCTCTGCTAGTGGCAGCTCCTGAGCTCTGCTGTTCCTCTGAATTTGGTGACTTTTGCTGAGGCTTTCAAAGAGAAAACTGCCAAAAGGCAATTTGGTGTGGGTTTTGCTCCGAGGACACCAAAGCTTCTGCTTGTCGTCGTGCCTGATAGGAGCAGCTTCTAGCCAGAGGCTGCTGGTCTTCCACATGCATGTACCTGCCTTATGCTCCCTTCTCTGCAGGGCAGGCAAGAGCTGCACAGAGCCCCCCTGCCCTGCTGCGAGCTGGAGCCGGCCCTTGCTCCTGTCTGAAGCCTCCGGCAGCCACATGCTTATTTAATCCCTTCTGTTAGCGGACAAAAGTTAGCACTGGCTCACAAGTGAGAATTCTAAGAAAAAAGACAAAAGATGAATTTCCTTTTTTCCTCCCCCCTTTGTTGGCTCCACTCTTCGTTGTTCTGAGAACAAAGACACTCCTTCCCCCTCCTCCCTACCAAAGAATCACAGCAATTTTTTGTTTTGTTTTTTCTTTTACAGATCAATTTTGTAGCCTGTCAGCTGTTTGCCCTTTTCGCTGCTTTTTGGTTTCGTATTTATTTGGGTCCCAGTCATGCCAGTTCTGCTGTTCGCCATACATTTGCCACCCTCTTTGGAATATACTTTGCTGTCTTCTGCTTTGGGTGGTGAGTATTTAATCATCAAGCAGACAAGGCTTGAGTAGAAATATTTTTAAAGTTCGTATCAGGTTTTCTGGATTACTTCTTTTTAATCTTGAGGCAATTGCAATCCTGAAAAAAAAGCCAAAAATTCCTACCAATGTAACCACCCCAAACCCTCAAACAAAGTGAAATGAGTCATGAAAGCGTTTGAAAGTGAAATATTTAATCTATAATGTGTTTATTTCTGGCAGTTAAAGCCACCAGCCTGCTGTGAGGATATTGGCATTGGAAAAGAGGCATCCAGTCTGGATGTGCACTTTGAGCTAAACTGCTCTTTCTCTGAATCAAACACATTGACAGCATCTCGTCAATAAGTGTTAATCTATGTTGAATGTTTATGCTTTAAAAATGTCATTGTGATAATCCATGTTTACTGATATCCTGATAAGATATAGCATTTATGTCATTTGTGTGGAAAAATATTCCCTCCATCTATACTGTCAGCCCCTCCAGGTTACTTAGAAGTTTCTTAAATATTCACTTTGTTGTCTTCAAGGTATTCCATACATCTTTTTGTCCTGGTGATGATGAACTATGGCATTATGAACATGGCGAGTATTGCAAACATCCACAGGTGAGCTTATGTGGCTGCAAGTACAGGTCTGCTCCTCTGGACAGCTTCCCTCCTTTCATCAGGCATGAGGTTTTTTTTAGTACCTTCTTCTCTTCTCTCTTGCCTTTCTTTCCTAGTTACTTGCATACTTTCCTAGTTCTGTTCATTCAGTTACAGAATCTGCTATAATCTAATTTTGAGCTTTTTGCATTGATACATTACATTTCACTGTGAAATTACTGTTCCCCAAAGTAGGTTTTTGTAGGTTTAGCAATTCATACCCATGCCTCTGATTTCTTAAACTTCATGAAGTCATATTGCACTTGGTATTGGGTCCTTGAGGATGGCTTTGTAGTCCTTTTTAATATGTTTTCCCTCTTACTGTATGGCCTTTAGGTATTTTCCAGTTACTCTCGAGTTAGGCAGTTCAGTCAAGGTCACTGGCAGCTTAACTTTGTGATCTATGAAATAAGTATTGCGTTTGTCACTGGGCTTTGAGCCTGAAAAAGTGGCAAGTACCAGACATATCTTTGCTTCGAAGGTTTGCAACATCATCAGAAAAAGTTCTAGACCTTTGGGTCTTTTTCTCCTATACAAATGTCTTGGAGGAAGACACCTAAGATATCTGAAGGGTTTTATCAAGGAACTGCCTCACTGGACAAAAGGCAGAAGGTGCTTTGATGTGACAGTGAAAACTGCATGGAAGTTAAGCCTGCTTTTTTCGCTGGTAATAGAAAGTGGATGTGGGAGAACTTCGTTGCTCGATAATTTGGCCTTCTCATAGGGGTACAACACTCTGTGATAGGTCAGCAAGCAAGACTCTTTTAAAAAAATTGTGCAGGCGGAGTTGTTTTATTCCCATCCGTCTGCACAGTTAGGACTCTTTTTTTGTGCAACTGCTCCTTTATAGCAGTCTAGAGGGACTAGCTGGCAGTTATTCCTACTTCTCTACTTTTGTATTGGCCTCCCTTAGAGCATATGGCTAACACTTCAGTTTGGTTTGGGTATATTACAGGTGCTTTCTGTCTCTGTGCTCTGCGTGGCTATTTTTATAGTTGCCTTCATCCATCCAATGAATGCCCACATTCACTGCACTCTGAACCTGGGAACAGACCCCTTTCTTTGCTTGTCTTCAGGGCCAGGGCTGTCTGAGGACCTAATCACAGAATGATTTAGGTTGGAAGGGACCTCTGGAGATCGTCTAGTCCAACCTCCCTGCTCAAGCAGGGTCCTCTAGAGCATATTGCCCAGGATCACATCCAGGCGTGTTTTGAATATCTCCAGCAAAGGAGACTCCACAACCTCTCTGGGCAACCTGTTCCCGTGCTCAGTCACCCTCAGGTTTAGATGGAACTTCCTGTGTTTCAGTTTCTGCCCATTGCCTCTTGTCCTGAGGCTCTGATAATCGTCTCTGCTTCTTTATCACTTCCTGAAGTGACCCCTCTCTAATACCTAAATGGGAATACCATCACTTTATAACGTATCTAGGATTGTTAGAAACATGAACTGTAAGTGGGAGGCCTATCCGTAGCAGTCACTAGTATTTGGCACCAGCAAGATAGGTGTTAATCAAGGAGTTGGGTTTTTTTCACCCCCCCTCATGGAGTTCAAAGGCAAAGCCCAGAATTCCAGAAGGTAATTAATAATTAAAAGAAAAAGACATAGCTGGACAATGTTTATGAAAGAAATGCCAGCCAGAGAACAGAAGAGAAGGAGCTAAAAACGTATGTTACTTCTCTCCCACTCTTCGTCCATGCCTATACTTTGGGGAAATGCAGGAGTAACTATTCTGGATTAGAGAACTGAACTGTAGGAACCAAGTCTCCAACACTTACTTAAGTAGAGAAGTCGAGGTGGTGATGGGGAAACGGGCACAGTTTCAACAGGAAACTCCCTCACTCTTACTGTTTAGCCCATTAGTCACAATGGGAGAAACAGCTGTGTATTGCAGGACAAATTAAGCCACTTTATATAATGTTGTCAGCTACTACTGCGAGATAGTCATGTTTTGATTTGAATCGATCTGAAATAGCAATTGAACATGCTGAAAAACCTTAGGAGGGCTGGGAAGATTGGGCCAGATCTTTTCTACTGTATTCTACTAGCCATAGCTCTGTGATTCAAAGTACATCCACATTATTAATTTTGGCAAAATAAGAGTGTATTCAAGCTGCTTGAACATAAGCTGTACATATAGAGGGCCTGTAAGAATACAGGAATTTTAACAACAGGGATTGGAGACTTGACTTTTTCCTCCAAAATGCAAGTGAAGGTGAGCAAAGGAAATAAATAAACTACACAGTTTAACCTACATGCTCCTTTGCCTGGCTATTTTCTGCTAGGGTGCTCTGTGATGAGGCTGTCAGTCTTCAAGGCCTGTAAGTTGATGAATTAATCCAGCATCTTCAGTAATGCTCTCAGCTGCAGGAGCAATTCAGTATGTCTCTCCCTGCCCACCTCCTTCCAGTGCAGGTGCCTTAGACTTAAGCATCAAGGCTCATTTTAGGTTCTGCATACCCTCTGTCATACTTACATGCCGCAGGCTGTGGTGGCTTGCTGTTGGAGGGATGCCTGTCATTCTTTGATGAAAGAAAGTCCACGGACCTTGTTGAGGCTGGGCTGGATGCCAGACTTGGATAAAATAGATAAATTCTGCTCTGAACCTACTGAAGAAGCTGTCATGTCCCCTTAGTCTGCCCCTCATCCAGCCGTTTGCTGTGAGCCACGTGACCTGCAGGTTAGCTTGTGATCCCTGACTTAACATCCATCACTGTCACTCACATGGCAATTTATTGGTCCCCAGGAAAGCAAAGCCCCTTTCTCTTACAGCCAGCCGTGGTCTGACAAAGGCTTGGCCCATTTTCAGTCACCTGCTGACCCTTCCTCTTGATGTGTGCTCCCATCTTTAGCTTCCTTGCCCTAATCAGTCCAATTTTGCAATGTGCATTACCAGCCTGCCTGGCTTCCACTGGCTCAGCTCTCCTAGGGCTCCTGGGTGTGCAGGCTGCATGATTTGGTTCCTCTGCAGGTCTTCATATCTTCTCATCTGTGTGGCCAGCTCTCCCTGCTGTAGGGGGCTTCAGTGGACTCGGTCCCAGCCCATCTGAGGTCAGGGTGACATAAGCCTTTCATTCCTGTGTCCCAACTCTGTCCACTGTCTGACTTGCTTGGTTTGTTAGCTGTCATCTTGTCTCCAGGTTTCCATCTGCTTCTTACCTCCCTTCCTGCTCTGTCACATGTGGGGAGAGTAAGTTGCGGGAGAGGCTGTGTCTGCCCCACCTAGACCCTGCAACACATGCAGCCCTCAAACCATTCAACCCTTACAATGGAAAGTGTCATGCTACCATCCTGCCTATTATATTTTTGTGGTCATTCTGGAAAAACTGAGACTGAATCTGTCAAGTTCCACTTAAAGACTATTTCTGCTGGAAGGTGGCATACTTCAGCGTTTAGGGCTGAAAAGAGTAGGCTGTGTCATTATCTGCCTTTAAGATATTTTCTCTCTTCTAGTTTTGCATCAGCTTGAAATCTTTAAGTTTCTGGTAGACCTGAGGAGGAGTTGTACATGTAAATAAAAGGCATTTACAGATAGCAAGAGTAATGGATAATTTCAGCAGCACTCACTAAATATCATCTGGTTTCAAATACTTGAGTTGGACAAAAAATTTTGAAATAATATGCTGGAGCGAGGGACCCCCAAATTGAAAAACTCAGCTTGAAGTGATGTCATTTCTTCCCCTCCTCTGCAATATAAGGAGGCATCTCTGTTATCTTGCGGCAGGGTACACAAAATTTTAAGTCCTCCTTTGAAAACTTTTACCAGAGATTGTTGCACAGAATCAGACTTGTTAACCAAATTTGCAAAAATAAAACCCCCAAGCCCAATTTGAGTGATTCCAGTTCTTGTTGGTACGTGTGTTGGTAATTGTTTGTTCTGTGTATTATGTTTTTAGGTACTCCTTTGTCGTAGCTATGGGATACCTCACCCTCTGCCACATAAGCCGAATATACATATTTCATTATGGTATTCTTACTACAGATTTTTCCGGGTGAGTGAGTCTGCAAGCTGGGTCCTGTATCATTTCATATTAGATAAATTTAGCATGTTTTAAAAATAATTCTGATGTTATCTGGGGAGCTCCTCCAATTTTGTTTACCTTAAAACTTTTTTTTTTTTTTAACACTTTTGTTGTTGTTGTTAAAGGAACAAATAAACACTGTGTTTTCACAGTGAGTCATTGTTTCTGCTGTCTGCTTGCTGGGCACTATCTAGTCAGGAAGGTAGAGCTTGGTTTTTAGCTACTTGCCTTTGTGAACGCAGCCATCAACTCAGAGTCATCCTTTCCTGCCTTCTGACTTACCTGTGCAGGGGAAGGGGGCCTGGGGTGACCCCAGGGATCCCTTCCACCCCCCCGGGGAAGGTGTTTCCCCCGCAAGACTCAGGCCAGTGGGAGAGGAGGACTTGAGGAGGTGAGTGGATGGGGCAGCTGGGACGTGCACAATCAGCTTAGAGAGGAGAAGGGGATCAGCTTTCATACTCTGCGCCCGTATGTTTTTCACGGGGGCAGGTTGTGAGTGTTGTTTAAGTAGCACGACTCTATATTACCATGCATTTCTGCTGGGATAATATTCTTCATATAAACTGTAGTCTCTCTGTATTGATTTCACTAAAGCAGTAGAGGATGCCTTGTGAAAAGTACAGGTATTTTGTAAAAGAAAGGGAATGTCATATCTCAGTGATAGGTGTTAGCTAATGTTGTATTGTATCTTGTTTCTGAGAAGAAAGTACATTTCTGCATGGTTTAAAAACTGTGTGCTAACCCATATTCCATTTGTGTAATTAAACATCTGATTGCAGAGTAATTACTAACATACCGTGAAAACCTCTGTGAAATGGAACAGTAAGTTGTAGATAGATGCTGCTTCCAAGCCTCAGTCTTCTTACAGGCATAGAATAGGAAACCCTGGAGTTTTTTTGCTGTGTGCTGTGTCTCTTGTGTGAGGTGGTGGAGAAGTTAAGCATTTAAATACATTTCTGGAAAAAATGATATGTGTTCTTCTGAGTCTTTTTGGTTTTTTTCTTAGAGGAGGGAGCAGAAATGGCAAATCATACATTTAGAGAAAATTTAGTTCTGTAATTTTTTTTTACTATTCTTTTAGTACACAAAAGCATGTCCTGAAAGAGCATGACATACCAAGAAGCCTATAAATGGCATTGGAACGCTATAGCTGCGTGTGCTATGAGGCAGAAATGTGTGAGAGCACGCTTTTCTGAATAGTGTGTTCAGAAGTACACTGTAAGGCATATTAGCTCTCTCTCAAAAGGTATTTAATAAGGATATAGCTGAGGCTGGGGGTGGAAGAAGAGGAATGGTGACTGTTTCATGGACTAAGAAGAGTTTTATGCTCCCTTGATAGAAGGGAGCTACTTCTATCTAATGATGAGCTCTAGGATAATAATGGGATCAAAAGAATAATGCCTAAACTTATTCTCTTGCATGTTTTTGTCCTGAAACTCCAAGATATAAACCAATTCATAAACTTCAGTCAAACAGAAAACTGTCAAATAGTAAACGAGTGGAAAATGTAGAACAGATGTGAACCACATCTTCATGGTTTATTTTAAAAGCTAAGAATAAATAAAAACACTGTATTAGTAAAAACTTGAAATCAAAAGTGCTCAAACCCAGGTCAGCCTTGTAAACCTCTCTTACAACCTGTTTTTCTCAGCTGTAGATAATATATTCCCACTGAGGCCTTATGCACACACCTAAATAGGTGTTAAGACCCAGAGAGATAAAATGCACTCCCTCACCTCTGTGTCACTCTATATTAGCAGAAACTGAACTGACCCTTCTGCAGTGTCCCATGACTGATGGCTCCACAAATATTGCGTGTGGCAGTGTGGTAGCATTCAAACAGGCTCCTTGCTAGAAGGATGTCCTAAAAAATTTCAGGACTTCAGAAACAGCCAAGCCAAGATCCGCAGGGCGATGCCCATCTCCCTCAAGCCTCCCAGCCCTGGTCAATGCTGCTGAGGGTGCTCTGATAGCATGAACCACTGAATTTAAAGGAATCATTAAAAGTGAACAAAAAAAGCCTGTGATCGGCTGATTTGTATTTGAGATCTCAGTTATCCTGTATGTTTCTGGCGATACCTGATTGCAAGGAGGAAGTGTTAATCCAGGTCAAGTAGGCGTGTAAGCAGTTCTGGTGTCATCAGCTTTCCAATGTCACTTCACTAAAGTGACAAGCCAGATGTTAAATGAATGCTCAGTTACTGTGCTGAAAAGTAGGATACCTCATTTGCTCTCATTGCCTTCTTTGTTCACTTAACAGTTTGCATGCATAATCCTTTTGACTTGTGTTTGTGACTGTTTTTTTTTAGTTCCGTAATAATAGTCGGTGGTACTATTTTGCTTTTGAGGGTTTTTCCCCTCTCTTTGAGAATGCAGCTTGTAAAAATGCATGTAGAGATTGAAAGAGAACAAGATAACTTTTGAGTCATGTTTTAAGTAAACTGGGAAATGGAAGATCAAACTGTGACTCATCGCTTCAAGGTTAGGGAGTAAGGAAGCTTGTACTGCAATGGTGACTACTTAATTCTTCTGAGTTATAGAAAGGAGAGTTTTATTCACTGACTCACAGAATCAGGAGTATACTCAAGCTAGTTGCAGCAATTTCTGTTTTCACATGTTGCATTTGAGCTAGGTGAAATGTCCTTTTTTTAGTCTATAAGACAGATTTTTGATGAAAAGAAATTCCAATTTGTTGCAGTTGAATTTTGATTTTTTTTTAATATTGATTTTTTGGAAGAACTATTATTTATATTCTGTCACAAAAATATGGTGAAGTAATTTGGGAATTTTCTTTGACAGATTTCCCAAAGAAAACTTGGTTTGTTTTTGACTGCTAATTGTGAAATAACTTAATGCTCTGCTTCCCTCTGATTTCAAATCAGTTTTTGAAAAAGATATGCATATTTTATTTTGCTTGCTTTACCATGGCATTT